CATAAATTACTCTATCTTGTCATCTGTGAGCAAAACGTGTACGTTATTCAGACTCAGAAATACTGAGACCTACATTTAATAATCTTATGAGTTGAAAAACTTTTTTTTCAAATAGAATGACCCATATTAATTGTCACTGGTGAATGCAAAATTGAATGCCCTTTCGACTGATATAAGGTTGTCCATACTTATCTCTAACAGTTTTAAAAAAAACAGGTTCTTTTGTAAAGCCGAAGAAGTAGCTATACATATAACAGCATCAAGAAGGCCTTGCAATTGTATTAGTACAACGTCGATACATAGGATTTTACAAAAGCGCAGCACAGCACATCCTTATCGCATCCAATTACACCAAGAGTTACAAAAAGTAGGCTTTCAGCGGAGACAGGAGTTTTGTTAGTGGACACTTGAGATATTAAATTAAGTTGATGATTTTTTTTAACGGGTTATGTTCTCCGATGAGGCTACTTTTCATGGTATTTGAAGGTGTAGCGAACCCATGTCATTGAACCATTCTTTTTTGACCAGCATCTAACTGGAGCAGTTTATTTAAACTTTTTAACAAACAATCTAGAAGATTTGTTAGGGGGCATTCCTTTAGCTACACTTCGAAGAATGTGGATGCAACATGATGGTGCTCCACCTTACAATACCGCAGCGGTTAGTCAGATTTAAACGAAACTTTTCCCAACAGATAGACTGGACGCTGGGGACCAGTAAGTTGGCCTTGAAGGTGTCCAGATATGACAAGTTGCGACTTCTTTTTATGGGGATTTATAAGAAGCAAAGTTTACGTTACACCATCAACTACCGCGGAAGATATGTGGCAGCGTATTACAGTAGTATTTCAAGAAATTACGCAAGACATGCTGACAGATGTTGAACAGTCTCTTAAAAACCGAATTGGTTTGTGTATTAATCAAAATGGAGGACACTTCGAGCAATTTATGTAAATCAGCGGTCTAAGTATTCTTCTTCTTGTTATGTTCCAAGTTTCAGTTTGTTTTGTTTCGCGTTTTGTTTTAGTTGTTAGTGGTATACTTTTGTTTGTCAGACCACTTTTGAAACATGCCAGTAAATATTGACACCGTCAGTCTCAGGATTGATAAAATGTGAGAGAATAGTGGTTTTGCAAGGCCATCTTGAAGCTGTTACATAGCTACTTTTTTAGCCTTTAGAAAAGAACCTGATTTTTCTGGAAAACTGTTAAAGATAAGTATCGACAACCTTATATCAGTCGAATGGGCATCAATTTTGCATTCATCCATGATAATTAATGCGGGTCATTGCATTTGAAAAAAAAAAGTTTTTCAACTCGTAAGATTATTAAATGTAGGTCTCAGTATTTCCCAGTCTGAATAACGTACACAGATGACAAGATAGAGTAATTTATGCCAAAATGAACTGTGAAAACTGCAGGTTTCTAACTCTTACGGTTTGCAGGGGTCGGCAAGTAATTTTAGGTGAAATGAAATACAATAGATAGGCATATTTGTATTAAAAAATCAATGGGAGAAATTACACTTGCGGTCTTGAGCCAGTTTTTAAAGTAACCTACTAACCATTAATAAATTATAAGTGTGGCACTCAAACGTATTGTTATCTACAGAAAAATGTGTTTTAAATGATTTGAATAATTATACTTGTCGGAGTCGTAGGGCTAACTTGGGCGTTAATATCACTACTCGTGTCACTCATCTTTACGAAATAATAAGTAATACCGTAAATGAAAATGAATTAAAATAAAACGTTACAAATGAACTATCGAAGTGTTTTATGACAACAACCAGAGGCCCGATAACGAATCCACGGTCAACAGAATAGCAGTGTATTCACGTCTTTAATGCTCAAGTAGAACTGGCTTCAGTACATCTCTCTGTACTTTTCTTTACTCGTCAGGTCAAAATTATTCTTAAATGAACCAATCAAATTCGTTATCTCCCAGGGATTGTCTTATAAAATAATTATAAGGTAAATGCTATCTATCCTTTGACCGCGGCTACGTTGAGTGACCCGTAAGTCCCTCCATACCCAAGCTTGCCATCATAAAATTCGGGAATAACATAACCGGTTTTAATTCATAAATAACTATTTCTAAGTTTTATGGTCTAAGTACAATTTATAAAAGGGTATTCCCTGAGTAAAGAATTCTGGAATTTCCAAAGTCTGAAGGACTCGGCCCGTGAGAGACATCTCCGACATACTTTAAAAAATTTTTGGCGGTCCAGTTTTTTACCTTCCGCGGTCCGGATCTGGACCGCGTCCGCCAGTTGCCGACCGTTCGTTTAGACGCTATCTAGCCTCATTTAAAGAGCTGAAATTGTGATTTTTTTCAAAAACAACTGATTATCTCGAAAACGGTAAGTTTTAAACCCCATGTACATTTAATAAACTCTAGCTAATATTAACCAAGGAATTCAAACACGCAATAATATACAGGGTATTCCATTTAAAATAACAAAGTTATGTAGCGTCCACGCGAAATGGAACACCCTATAAAGCTATTTTTTAAAATAGCTTTACTATTAAAAATATTTTCTTTACATGGCTCACATGATTCCAAACAACTTTTATTAAAACCATTTTATTTTTATTAATTATACAGTTACAGAGTTACAGGAGAATCCCTCATAGGTGGAACACCCTATACAGGGTGATTCAGTTATAATGTCATTAATTTTAACCACGTATTCGGAAGGCTTAATAAAGACAGAAAATCGGAAAAAAAAATTTTTACTCAACTTTTAAAAATGAAGGAAATCAACCCATAACTCCCGCTACGAGGGCGGCCCTGGCAGATGCCCGAATGCACGGAAAATTTTGTAACGTAATGTCACGAACAATTGTCGGCTAAAACGAACAGCGTTGCCAAGTTCACATCATAATGTGTGGTTCACATTTACTGTTAAACGTATTCAAGTAAATAAAGGAGCATGCTGCATTTTATTATAAATAATTTTAACAATTGTATTAACTTAGTGCAGAATGTTTTAACAAGCCTGACTTCTCGAAGTCAACTTTCGTTAAAAGAAAATAAATAAAGCAAAGGTAATTACCTGTTTGTAGGCACAATGCATTTTATCAAATAAAAAAGTCGGCACACTACTAAATACCCGAATATACAAAATACACTACACACGGTTACAAAACCATTACCTAACAATTTAAAGCGTTTATTCAAATCTACCACCCTCCATATCTCCCGCATTTTTCCCGCAAAGGAGTTAACATAACACATTTTCAAAAAGTTCAAGCTTTAGAAGCAGCTGATTTCCCCAATCGTCTTGAATTTTGCAATTGGTTCCTAAGTGCAGCAGAACTTTATTAACAAAGTGCTCTGGACGGATGAATGCTGTTTTACTCGTGCTGGCATTTTAAACAGGTAAAAAACATAAGTATTGCTTTCTCAAAAATAATAAGTGCCTACCTAGGTTACACCAAAGTTTAGATTTACACTAAAGTTTACATTTATTATGTAAACTTTGGTTATACGCAACTGCATATTGAATAATAAATTGAAATACTAAAACTGTGTATTATTTAACATAATAAATTATAAAACGTGAAAACGTTAATAATATTAAAAATGATAAATTGTAATAACCGTACATTCGAAAACAATCATCCCTATTCATTGATGACACGATTTTCCTTTGATAAAAGACCGACAACTTTTTGCTCTACTTTGCATGGAATACGATCCTACTAAAGTGCACACGTGCAAATTAGAAGGTTATTGACCTCGACACAGGTTAACCTAGGTCGGAAATACGTACCGAGTTGTTTATTTGTCTCCGTCCGATTGTATTTTTATCTTCTATTACTTACAGTCAATATTTAAATACTACATACATTTCACCCTCTCTTTATAATTTATCTAGTGAGTGTTGGTTTTTTATGTCATTATTTCTGTAATGAAATTGAAATGGTTATGAAATGAAATTTAAATTATTTGAACTCTTGGGGTTTTGTAATTTCAATATTAAATTTTATTTAAAGTGAAACAGAGCTAATTTCTTTGCAGCCATAATAGTCACATTTGGTCAGATGAAAACCCGCACACTACTCGTCGGTTTAGCTTTCATAGGAGATTCGGTGTCGATGTATTATGGGCAGGAGTATATGGCGATCGTTTAATGGGCCGCATTTTCTACCTGAAAATCGGAATGGGCCGCGTTACTTTCAATTTTTAGTAGAATTGTTTGAAAACCTTCCCCTTCAGATGCTACGGGATATGTGGTATATGCACGACGGAGATCCGGCCCATTTTGCTCGCGATGTCCGTGTATTTTTAGACGATCAATGTCCCAATCGGTGGATAGGGAGATGAGGGCCCATAATCCTATGGACTTTTGTATATGGGGTTATATGAAATCTGTCGTGTATCACACCGAGGTAGAGAATGTAGAGCAGTTGCGGAATCGTATCGAAGATGCCGCTGAAGAAATACGTAACAACCCTGGTTTATTCCATCGCATCCGCCGCTCATCTATCTAACGTGTACACTTGTGCATAGACGGTAACGGTAATGTATTTGAACATTTGCTTACAGCAAAAAATTAACATTATGATGTTAATAAAAACTGATTTTTGGCAAGGCATGCTCAGAACTCCTCGAGGTTCTTGCTGGGCAACAATAATAATTTAATGTGTTGATTGCATAATTATAAAAAATAATTTATAGCATTTTAAATTATTATTTGCTGACGTGAGCAAACCGTTTATTTATTTTCTTTATATGAGCGAAAATATATAAATATGGCAACGTTGCATCCAGGGCGCGTTGTTCATATCGTAGCCGGCTGACGGCAGCCGGTCAGTAACAGCCTGAAAGGGGGTTAAATAATGATTTGAAAATATTTTTTTCTGCTTAAATATGCATTTAATTTTTTTTTTGAATCACGCCATCGTATTATACTAATTTTTCTCTATCTGTTCTTAAAATTAATGACAATATGACTGAATCACCCTGTACTACACTATCGATTTATCATTTCCAGGGCATCGGTAGCCTCTTCAGCGCCCTAAAGGTAGTCCGCCTCCTTCGCCTAGGTCGGGTTGTGAGAAAGCTGGATCGCTACCTGGAGTATGGCGCTGCCATGCTCATTTTACTGCTATGCTTCTACATGCTGGTGGCCCACTGGCTGGCCTGCATCTGGTATTCCATCGGCCGTTCCGATGCCGACAACGGAGTGCAGTACAGCTGGCTGTGGAAGCTGGCCAACATCACCCAGAACCCCTATTCGTACGTGTGGCCCAACGACTCCAGTACCCCCGAGCTGATCAACGGGCCTTCGCGGAAGACCATGTACGTCACGGCGCTGTACTTCACCATGACGTGCATGACGTCTGTGGGGTTTGGCAACGTGGCCGCCGAGACAGACAACGAGAGGATTTTTACAATATGTATGATGATAATTGCTGGTGAGTTGTAAATATTAATTAAATGGTTAAATTTATAGACACTTAGAACAAGAAGCTATGTTTTTATATTTTTTGACCATCTGGCTTCAATTTTTGAAGACTTCTGACTATTTTATTTTACCATTTTTTGGCATTTTTTGGCCACATTTCTCTGGTAAAAGCTGTTTTTGACATCATAATTTCGGTTGTCGAGTTCCTAAGATACAAACAAATTTGGGTTGTAAAAACTGGCCCATTTTTGTCAATTTTTTGGCATGTTTTGGCATCAAGCCCCAAACCTAACAACTTTAAATCTAACATAGCCTAAGCCGTCAAGCTCCAGGGGTATAAAGAGGAAGCACATCTATTGAAATCTTTCGTGAGACACTTAGTTGTATATTTGAAATTAGATTAGATTGTCAAAAAATTGCGAGTTCTTGCAATCCAAATTTGTTTGTACTTTAAGATCCCAATAATCGAAATTATTATCAAAACATAAAAACAGCTTTTTCTGTGCAAATATCATTTTCCCCAGAGATGTGGTCAATGAATCCCAAGAAATGGTAACATAAAATGGTCAGATCTCATCACCCAATTTTTTTTTAAATCCAAGTCTTCAAAAATTGAAGCCAGATGGTCAAAAAATATATAATTAGCTTCTTCTAGTCAAATATTCTATTTTCCAAAGAAATAAGGCAAAAAACTACCAAAATGGGTCAGATCTCATCAACCAAATTTAATTAGTTTTCAGGATAAAAAAAATCAGTATTAGTCCAGACGGTATTTGTTTCAAAAAGCCATATTTGGGTGAATCGTATATCCACGGAGATTTTTGGCTTTTTGGCTTTCAAATATCACTAGAAATGAAAATTTTTCTATGCGCATAAAAAAAACGTGGGCTTAACTTTGGGCGGCACAATATGTTAAAAAAGTTGGAAAAATGTCATATTTTTCTTCCTGTTTAATTATGTATCTTTTTAAGAGTTGATTTTAGGCGAAAATGGAAGATAGAAAAAATGTTTGTAATTAAATTTTTTACAATACATGACTGGTTACAAATCGAATGAATCATGATTATTACGGTAAAAATCGAAAAAATCACAAAAATGGGGTTAAAAAACAATACTTTTTAGGGAATTTTTTTGGTGCATTTAAATTGGGTGTAGGACCTTTATACTTGGCTCAAGAAAATTTTATGTTATGTAGAATTATCACACCAAATTTCATCAAAATCGGTTTGAAAGCCTGAGAGCCCTTCTAT